ATACCTGAAATTGTGAAAAGGTGGTAATAGGCCAACTAGCTAAACTCCTAAGGGTCATTAGGAATAAAGGTACAAAACTCAGGCAGGTTCCTACCTGCTTTTTAGGCAGGAAGTTGCTAGTGGGACAAATCCAAATAAAAGGTTTGACTATGTCAAAGAAAGTAAAATTATCCTTCAGTTTCCCCCCCAGAAATTTCACAAGAATACTGAGTAAATGCCATTGTCTCAATCATTGTGAACACAATTTGTAAGGTTCAAAACACAAGATAAATCTATCATCACAATCTAAATTACTTGGTTTCAAATAAAATGAGATCTGCTCTGACAAACAACTTATAATCACAAAACACATATTTTATTTCTAAAAAAACTAAAATTACATTCTCAGACTGTAAATACTGAGTTGATCCAACCTAATGATTTCTGCTGAAATATATTGGTCAATAAAAATGGATAAAAAGGAGCAATAGCATATGTGAGCAAACCAGGAAGAACTCATTACTGTCATAGTATAAGAAGTATTTTACATGCCCCTAAATTCCATATTTTATTCAGTGACTATACAATACCCAATAGTTCTGAGCCACACATATTCTGCAGAGAAAACACCCTCCTTCCTCCAACTGCCCCTATCTTTATTCACATTAGGGACACTTCAAAAATAATTTGCTGAGGAAGAAAACTTATGGAAGACCGTGGTTATTTCACCACCACAAATGACCAGCCCTGACATCAGACAATTCCCAGAGCCATCCAAGTGTGATGGGATGACTTAGCAAATAAAAATACAGGACACCCTGTTAAATTTAAACTTCTGATAAATAACTCATTTTTACAAAATATAAAAATGTCCTAAAATTTGCCTTGGAGTGCACTAAAAATTTATTTGTAAGTAAAAAGTATTCATTACCCTAAAAACCTATTCCTTAAGTTTATTCATTAAATTTAGTGCATTGCAATACACTAAAATTATTTTGCACTAAAAATTATTCTTTGTTTATATGAAATTCAAATTTAACTAGGCATCCTGTATTTTATCTGGCAATCCTCAGCAAAGGTATTTTGTAGAACAATGCTTTTATCTCCTTTCAGACTGTGAGTTCCGTTATGATAATGATAGAGCGACTAAAACTTAAATGGTCAGCTCCTAAAGCAATGCAGGACATATAATGGACACACAATAGAAATGTGATGCATAAGAAAAATAAATGTAAAGAATGAATTTTAAAGAATTGATGTAGACAGATAGAGGATGGGTGAATGGACAGATAGAAGGGTGGATGGATGGGTGGAAGGTTATAATGGATGGATAGATATAGGTAATTACCCTATAGCTTATTTTGTTTGCATAGCTCAACAAAATAATGATTACTCGTTCTGGCAAAAAGTGAGGCCAGAGTTCCATCCCCACCAGGTTTACCTCTTTGGCAACTGGTATGAACAACAGCACAGCTGCAATTTTATTTTGGCTACAGCGTGGTTGTGCAGTAGATGGAAATGGACACACCTGTCTCCCTGCCGGTGAGACCTCTGTGTGCACACTGAAACTTTGGTTCCATTTCAGTTAACCACTTCTCTGGATGAGAACTAAGATGAAGACCCACTAGAAGATCCAAATCTTCATTGAATATTTAATAATCAAACAAGGAGTTTATGGTAGAAAGCAAAGAATTCTATGACTCTCTCATAAATTGCCATTGGCAACCTCTGGATATATTTCATTCTAAAATCCAAGATAATAACCCCTCAAACAACAAAGATGTTCATTAAGCTACTGAACTCTCATATTAAGTGTATCCTGTTTTGTTTTTATTTTTGAAAAAAGAAAACAACAACAAAATATCCTTCCAGGAATATACTAAACTCCACCTGTAAATACAAACTTCCAGAACTTAAATGTGATTGATATGATACAGCATAATTTAAATAAACTTTACCAGCACCACCACATACATATAATATTATAGATTATAGAATATATGTCTAAATATACAAAAGATATATATATATGTAAATATATTTTCATACATAAGTATATAATATATAATACATGACACGATATATGGCTATCAATTGACTTACATATGGGTAAATAGGTAAATAGGTAGATAGGTGATAGATTCAGATTGTGATGTGATTTCACAGGTTTATAACTTTAAATCACAATAACTAAAGAATATTAATCAGGCAACACATCTCAGAAATGAACACAACCCCCATAAAATTGTGAAATGTGAGGTATAATCTGCTTTTGATGTTCTGACCCTTCTGATGCCTTCTCTTCTCCAACACCTGGGCTGTTGACCTATTTTTTCAAGAACCTGAACCAGCTGAGCCTCCTGCTCCATCACCCTCCCCAGGACCATGCGATCCACACTGGCTTGTTCTCCACGGCAGCTTTCTGTTGCCGTTACTCAGTCATATAGAATTGATTGCCATCCTGCTCTCAAACCTCAATAGCAACTTGACAATTCCCTCAAGGTGGCTTCTGTGCCTTCCTAGAAGAATGACAATTTTAGCTGAGAACTGAATTAGCAGAGACCACAGGATCCACCTGTCCTTTTTACCAGGGTAACTATGATCTCAAAGGTGTCACTGTTTTGTGATCTCACTCAAAAGAGTAACTAGTGATGTGACTTTTTGGCCAAGTAAAAAGGGAGTTAGAGTCATTTTTGTTATTGTTGGATTATTCTGGCAGACTAGTCAGGTAGACTTGATAACTGAGAAATTATGGAACACCACATATGCTCCTGAGCAAAACTAGCTTCTAAACAGTTAAAGATCTTGGGAGTTTCTTTTGTGGTTCCCTCTTGCTTAGTATTTCACGTATAAACTCCTCCGATAGAAAAGCAATGTTTCCCACTTAATCTGCTCAAATTTAAGTCACACTATTTTTATAGCACATGGCTGCTTATTTCATTCTTGTTTGCCCCCAAACCTTTGACATCAATTTCCCCCCTTCTAGTCCTTCTCAATTAACTACAGACTTTTAGGAAACTTCATCTACCTACTCCAGTCCGTATGAAACACTTTATGTGATCTCTTGGCACATTTCTAGTTTATATGTGTTTCTTGCTGAGTTAGCAACTATTTTCTTCCCTAGTGGCAACTGAACAATCAACCCCCATTATAATTCTTTTCAAAGTTGCAACTTTTTTATTTTATTCATGGAAGGAATAAGATTCAATCAATTTTTTAAAAATGTACATGTATTCCTGATTAAGCATTCTAGATTGATTTGAAATTTATTACATGGTTACAATCAATTTCGGAAGTAATAGCAAACAGAACCACTGCCTCTGCACATTTACTAGTAACCTGGAGTTCATTCAGATACTGTGGATATTGGTGAGAACAGGTGGTAACACTCGAAATACATTCAGAACCCAATTTTGCATGTGATAACTTTCTTTAAAATGTTTAAACTAAAATACTATTTTTGAGACCAGAACAGGACCCAGGAGCACACCCTGTACAGATAACCTACATCAAATGGTTGCTAAGAATACAAGCAATAAATTCAGAACTTGATTTTCTGTGTCTTGGAGTGGACTTTCTAAAAGCTCCAAATTTGGTCTCATATAAGTAGAAAAAATATTCCACTAGTTAAAGGATATATACATGAACATATTTGAATAGTTCATGAATTTTCAGGACGTTGCATGATCTTGTCCTTTAGGCTTCAAGTTAATTCAACAAACACTTAGGGAACACACCTTGGCTATCTCTGCCTCTGGGGTGATAAGAAATAAGGCAAACTCCCACCACCAAGGTGCTCCCAGTGTAGCTATGGAGACCACCACTCAAACCAGCAGGCACAGCGAGACATTGTCAGCTCCGAGGCAGCAGGAGGCATGCAATATATCTCTTTTCTTTATCTTTCAATCAACCAATTAGACAACATTTCCCTGAGACCCAGACCCATGCTTTTGAAAGTTCCGCAAGCCGCTGTGCGCAGCAGGACAATGTGATGGCACTTTGGGGAAGCTTTGGGGAAGCGGCATGGTCTGACTGGTCACACAGCCTGGGCCGGACAGAGATTATTTGCGGGTCAGCTGCCCTGGAAGTAAGTAACAGGGGCTGGATGGAACGCCTTCGGTGACGTGGGCATTGGAGACGGAGAGGGGCGCCCAGTTTACTCTGGCTTCCCCACGCTTTCTGATCGGAGCCACTTAGCATCTGCAGCGAGGGCAGCGATGAATGGAAAAACAGTTCCAGGCGTGAACCCCGAAGGACCATCTCGGGCTGTGCGGGACTGCGGGGGTCTGGCCTCTTCTCTTCCAAAGGGATGGGGGAGTCCTCAGGGAGGATGGTCACTCCCGAAGACTCCAAACCCCAGCGGGTCCCACCGACTTCAGCCAGGGCGGCTGCTGCGGGGGGCGGGGTGGGGGGTCGCCATGGGACTCGTGTATTGGGACCCGCACCCGGAGCGACAGCCGCGCCCCTCCGCCCACGGTCACGCGGAACCCGGGCTGCGGCCAGTTCGCGGCGGCGAGGCGAGGCGGTGCGCCCCCGCCCCGTCCCCGCGTCCGCCCCCGCCCCCGCCCGCGCCCCCGCCCGCGCCCCCGCCCCCGCCCCCGCCCGGTCCCGCGGCCGCGCGCACAGCCGGGCCCGGCGCGCCCCCGCCTCCCGGCGCCGCTGCGCTCGGAGCGCTCAGACCGCGGCGGCCGCAGCCGGAGAAGGAGACCGACTCCCGCCGCCCGCCCGCCCGCTAGCGCCTCGGCTAGTGGCTCCTATTCCCACGATCAGCACCGCGCTTCCTCTCTCTCTCTCTCTCTCTCTCTCTCTCTCTCTCTCTCTCTCTCTCTCTCTCTCTCTCTCTCTCTCTCTCTCTCTGTCACACACACACACACACACACACACACACACACACACACACACACACACACAAAATCTGCACATCTATATGCTGGAGGAGAAGACATTTCCTTCCCGCTCGCTCCCTCTGCGCCCCGAGAAGCTGAGCGGCCGCGCGGCGGGGGGCCCCGGATCGCCCGGAGATGCTCCTCCCGGCGCGCCTTCTCGCCCTCATCCCGCTGCTCTGCGTGTGCCGCCTGGGTGAGTGGGACCTCGGGCTTCCCCGCGGGGGTCCTGTGGGACACGGGTGGGGTGTCTCGGAGCGTTAGGCACTGGCTCTCGCCGCCGCCGTGTACCAGGAGGAGAAGGGGCGGGGGGCCGGGACCCCACGGGTGCCAGCTGCGGGGGAAGGCGCCCTCCCCACCGCGCCCTCCGCCGCCTGCCACCTGCCCGCGAGCTCCGGCTCCCGCCGCACAGGAGACACTGGGCATCACCGCCCCGTCCTCACAGCTCCTCTCTCTCTCATTTTGCAGTGTGGGAAGAGCCTGTTGTTCCATACACATCAGAAGATAAATGCAGCCATACATATAACCATGGTGCGGGGCTGCACATTACAGCGCGGTTTTTGCTGTGAAGTTCAGGCTACAGATATTATGGGCTTGAATGAAAAATGCACGAGCATTACACACACGCACTCATACACACACACACACACACACACACACACTCACACCCCTTCCCCCTACTGCTCACACAATGCCTGAAAGGTAGTAACAGGAACAAGCACCAACCCGACTTTTCAGTGTTTTTTCATACTTTTAATTTAGTCACATTCAAGTCTGGGCAGTTACTTAAAAAAAAAAAAGTTTCAATCAACATTTCTGTCAACCTTCCGCCCCTGGTGCCAAAGCCAGAGGAGAGCTGTAGGCTGATCTGTTTATCCAGGACTCATCTTTCATGCACCGCCTTTTAGGTGACACATTAAATAGTGCACTCAGAAGTGGCCATTTTCCTGAAGAATTGTAAGATTGGATTATTTGCATTTTATTAAAGAAATGCTTTGTTTTGTTTTCCTTTAGTAAGATTTGCTATGATGATGGACTGTAATAGGTTTGGAGGCATGCACTTGAAAGTTGGAAAGCATACCTCCATTTATGGGTGCACATACTCTTTTTTAGTTAGAGGATAAGACTTTTGTTCAATGTTTAGGTTGTTCATATTCAAGTAGATATTAACTTACATTTTCACCCAACAGATGGTGCTGTTCTTGGCACAGTCACATGTACAAGAAAAAAATAATTTCATATTCTAACTAGTTAGAATTGTATGGCAAACGTGATAACTGCCACCTCCCCAAACCTACCCCAAGACACATGGTCAAAATATCTATCCCAAAGGCTTTGCGGCAGTACTCAGGGGTGATCACGTGAGACACACAGGGACGCTGAAGACTTACAGGGGATTCTGGTGCTGGTTCTCTCCAGCATCATACAACTGACTCTGGAGAGGGAAAGACATCTTTCGTTAGTGCTGTGGTCATCAGATACACACCTGTGGAATGTACATTTCCTCTGTAGATCTGTTTTAACCACAAAGCCAGATCCCCTTGGTACTTAGATGATTATTTGAAACACACCTCACTGCAGTATAGAAATAAATTAGAGCATACTGTTTTGTATGCCTTCCAAACCACATCCGCTGAGTATACTATGAATTCTTTTTAATTGAGCTGTGATTCACATGGCGTACAATTCATCTCTGAGAGTGCACGATTCAGTAGTTTTGAGTGTTTTCACAAAGTTGTGCAACCATCACTGCTATCTAATTATAGCATTTCATCACCCGTCACATAAACCCCATTAATCGTCATTCCTCATTCTCTTGACCCCAGCCCTGGAAACATCTAATCTACTTTTTCTTCTCTAGATTTGTCTGTGTGAGTATTTCATATAAATGGAATCAGATGATATGCGGTCTTCGGTGGCTGGCTTCATTCCCTTAACATAGTGTTTTTAGGACTCTTCCTCTAGCCTGTATCAGTACTTCATTCCATCTTGTGGCTGAATGATATCCCATTCCAATAGGCCATATTTTGCAACTTCTTAATATAGCATAATTTGTAGCTTGTTGCTTTGGGTTATTTAGATATTAGTTTATTGGATATTTTCTTTGATGCTTTGATGATGTTAGATTGTAAAGGATTAAATTAATTGTTTAAGAGTACCACAAGTGTATGTGATGATATAGAATGTAAGCCTGTTTTAGGGTTCAAATTGGATTTTTTTTTTTAGACTAACAGTTGACTCCTTTATCAACCTTTCTCTATTTTGAGAAAGTTGGCCTTTTATAGTGTTGCCTGCTGGCGGACATAGGGGTCTTTACAATCTCAAATCTGATGAGTATCTTGATCTTAGGGTAGCACAGTTTGAAAAAAAACAGAGGCACATTATCTACAAATGAAAAATTCGGCCTCTTCAATTATCTTTCCCTCAACATCTACCTGGTATTGTGGATGAGTTTGTTACTCTTCTTCAGTGCCCCTGAAGCCAACAAGAGACCTTGCACAGCCAAAGCCAGTTTGGCTCAGTGGATAGAGCATCGGCCTGCGGACTGAAGGGTCCCAGGTTCAATTCCGGTCAAGGGCATGTACTTTGGTTGCAGGCACATCCCAGTAGGGGATGTGCAAGAGGCAGCTAATCGATGATTCTCTCTCATCGATGTTTCTAATTCTCTATCCCTATCTCTTCCACTCTGTAAAAAAATCAATAAAATATATTTTTAAAAAAGAGAGAGAGAGAGAGAGAGAGAGAGAGAGAGAGAGAGAGACAGACCTTGCACAGGTAAGAGATGCTCATGAGAGGTCTACCAACTGAGGCCAGGGCTGCCTGGTGACAGCTCTGGGACAATTTGAATGTTAGGCTGCCATGCTTGCCATTATCTGCAAAAATTTGTAGAATTCACTAATGCTTTCATTATTAGCAATTAAGACTATCTTAAAGACCTTATCACTTTTTGTCCAAAATATTCTGGTGCTTTGAATGAACATATAGATCAATTGCATCCCTCAAATAAATTCAGAACACAAACAAAATATCATTAAACTAAATATTTAGACTGGAACAAATATTTTCCCAAATTACTAAAGAGAAACATTATGGGATTTCTTTTTATTTTCTGGGGGAAGGATTGTTAAATATGTTGTGAGTTCATCTACTTGGACTATTCTGTCAAAATTGGCCTGTAGCCTGAACTGGTTTTGCCAACTAGCTAGATTACAGTCCTCAAACTTTAGTGTGTGTCAGAATCACCAGAAACACTGAAAACCCAGATTCCAAGACCCACCCTGAAGAGTTTCTGATTCGATAGGTATGGGGTGGGGCTTAAGAATCCACATCTAACAGATTCCCAGGATATGCTGCTGCTAGGGCCAGGTCCGCACTGTGACAACTTCTGAGCTAGTTTGACATGTAAATATTAGCCTAGTGTCCAGATTATTAACAAGTTTTCACTGTGGATTTGATTTCTGATACCTGACTTAATATTATTATTTTAAAAAAAAACCCACATGAGTAACACATCTAATGCTAGAGATTCTTAATAAGAGAGGCGGAATTTAAAGATGACTGTAAGGTAATCCCCTAAGTGAATCTGGACCTTCTCTAAAATAATTGAGAGGCGTGCTACTAGGTGGAGAACTAATGTGATGACTATATGACTCTTAATTATTATTTAATCTGGACCCACTGAACAGGTAATGGGAAAAGCTGCTGTGGCTTTCCTGTAAGGAAACTTAACTATGAGTCATAGAGGAGAGGTAACTGTTTTAAGGGTTTTTATGGAATAGTTACATTGAACTAATGAGAATCCGGGATCTTTGAATTGAGTGATAGCCCTGCAAGGTATGCAAAATGTAAAAGTGTAAATATTATTGTTAAAGAAGGTGGGGCTAGGTGGTAGAGCTTTGATAGTGAAGACAGTTCCGTAGCCACTCTGTGGCCTGTATAGACTGGAGTTAAAGGGGAGAGATTAGCTCTTAGCTCAGAAGTGAGTGCTAAAACCCGTCACAGCACATCATCCGTGACGGGTTTTAGCATTCACCGTATCATTTTGTAGTGTATCTCTCTATCTCGCCCTCTAGCTCCTTGAGGGCAAAGACAGTATTTCATTCGTGCTTGGACTTAGGATTCTTGGACTTAGAACCTATAGTAGGTACCTGGTAAATATTTAATGTACAGGTCATAGAGAAAAAGAACTGTGAAGGTTCTTAGCAGTAGCTTTTGCTGTTGAGATGGGTCCATTTCAGCTGACATTGTTTTCTTTTGATTCTGACCCCCAGCCCAAGAATTAGGTCACTATTCACTTTGAGCCATGCCACTTCTGGCACCTCATCTTCACATTCTTTGATTCTCCCAGAAAGGCCCATAAGCATCACCTAGATCCAGACACGACCTGGGTCTTAAAATTGGAGCTCCGGAGATGGATACTGTAAGTGTCCTCGCAGTAGAAGTTTTGAGTGAAGGTTAAATTCTAGATGAGTTGGCAGTAATGATGCTTGGATATGGCCCAGGGAGCAGGGCATCAAGTTATTGTATGTGCCTGTGCGGGTGTGTGCATGTGACTGTGTATATACTCATGTTTACCCGTTAGGGAGGAGAGGGTAGTCTAGGTGAGGGGTGGTCAATAATGAAAAATGAAGTGTCTTGAGCCCATGAAGACTTGTGTTTTTAGTCAGTCAAAAGCCATCATATTGGATTAAGTCTCCTCCAGTCAAGCTGACTGCAAGAGGTAGTGGCCAAAGCTGTTCTAGAAAGCAGATGAAGGACACGAAGTATAGTTGTGGGAGGGTTCCTTCAGCTGGGCTTGTGCCCTCTTGCAGTCTGGGAGCCCTGTGATTGATTGCCCCGAAGAGGGAGGCCCCACCCATTGCAGGGTGGCTGGCTAGGTAGCCTGGGACTCCCTCTTTGGGGTGATAGTGCTCCCCCCATGATCAATCACATCACACCCACCTTGGTGGCTGCATTGAGTGCTGGGTCACCATGGAACCCACAACCCAGGAGGGACCGAGAGGTCAGCAGTTCAGTCCACTCACCAATCCCTGCCTTCCTGAGCCTGCTGTGTACTCAGCCTGGCATTTGGTTATTCATTCAATAATTTTGGACATTATGGACCCTGTCTCTTTATATATTCGGATGGATATGCATGCTTTTGCAAATTGTCTCAAGTTTTATTATTAATCTAAGCTGTACCTAGCTTAGCCCTAC